GCATTTTACGAGGGCCATCTGGGAATTGATGTGCTATCAATCTGTTGACGACGCGTTTTACGATAGCTATTAATATCATAATATTATTATTGATTGTACCCTTGTATGAGATGATCAAAGGATTATTAGGTGATATCTAATGCTGGTATACCTATTTAAGTAGAATATAAAGTACCTAGTAGTAAGGAAACTACTGCTAAATTCCAAGACGATTATGTAACTGCACGAGACTGAAATAATAATGTTATGGAACGATTTTAAGGCAGTCAAAAGTTTTTGCACAGATATACGGACTCCATGTTGTTACGGACTTTTTCAGCAAATTTGAAAACATAAAATCTCAAATTTAGAACTAACATTGTAACTGCAAGCTGCATCGAGTTTAACTGCAACCAGAAATAGAGACGAAAGAAAGGCCATCCATCCCTGGAAGTTCATCAGGCAAATGGGCATTATATCACTATTAAATATCAACTCTGAAATCACAAATTAGAAAGCTGAAATAGTACAGCGGTAACAATTGACCTGTGTGTACGTCTCCGTATATTCCAAATATATTCTGTATTTATTGTAATAAAGATAATGTCTCTAACTATGAGGGGGTGTTCCATTAGGTAGTGTGGGAAAAATAGCAAAACATCTAATTACAATACAAACGGAATCACATTTCATCTGTAATTAAATATGTATTTTTTCAATTTTCCTCCATTATAGCAAAGCCCAAGTTAAACTGGTCGATTTGAAGTGAAACAATTAACGACCATCGTCAATTGTTTTGAATTTGGGCTGGCCAATCGGAACGCAGTTGTCACCGTGATTATTTGGCAGAATAGTTTTCAAACAAGTTAAATGACATTTCGTCTCTATTTCTGGTTACATCTCAATGTCTAACTGTGAATCTCATTTTGTTGAAAGATTTCATGAATTCTGAAGATATTTCGACTGGCCTTCACAGATTTTTAAAAAATGGTAGACAACACGATTAAGATCACAGGCAACTTTCGTGAAACTTTTTTCATGCCTTTCGATCCTATTTCTGGTAAGAATCAAAAGTCTCTGTGGAATCAACTGACGTAAGAATGTTAAAAATATCAGAAATTTAGGAACATTCTAGGTAGTTACAGAAAAGATAATCAGTCATTCTAGGTACTTACAGTTATGTATTTAAGATGAGCATTTACTATAATACTTATTTATTTTTGTTTATTCCACAAATCCCTACTGGTAGAGATCCTAAAATGTTAGTCAATTTTATTCCATAAATCCCCTAACATTGCCGCTGAAAATCAGTATAGGCGTTTTTGGCAAACCACAAATCTCTTACCTAAAAATTTGCGGGTTATTTTTCCCACAAATTCCCACTGTGTAGCAAGATTACGCTTTAGTAGAAATTAGTGGAATAAAATTTTAGGAGCCCCACTGATGGAGATTTGTGGAATAAACCTCTATTGCTTTTCTTCTTGTTTTGAAATAAAATTCATGGACAGTATTCTAGGGCCGTTTTCCTGTAGGTAGATATGATTGTTAGCTGCCCTTGCTAACCCGTTATAAATTTGCACCTGTATATATTTACATATAAAAATGTCCATGGCATTGAATGTCTAGGCAGAACTAAAAGTTATTTAAACATGTTATAACATATTTAAAAAACCGAATGTGTGAATAATTCCACTTTTATATAGGAACGCGAACTAGAAATCGATTTGTTTAATAAACATTTTATTTATAAGTTGTTCAATTGCATAGAAAGTTCTTTATTCCAAAATATAACGATACCTTTCGGTTAGAATCCGTGTTACCTGACTAAATATTAAACTTTACACTAACCCTTATCATCCCTCATCGAGCTCATCGTAGCAATGTGTCAAAAGTATTTCCATAGATAACGAGCGACCTTTTCCAGCAACCAAGCCGTAATAGATTAAGTCGAGTACCTACATATTAGAGGTATGCATTTATTCACTTATAATTCGTTATTTGAAAAACACAGACATCGCAGTTTTTTATTGGCGGCGAAATCAATGATCTCAGGAGGGTTTAAATACCAAATTACTATACGTACTATTAAAAATAGAACCGTCATAGTAGATACTGCAATGAATTTACCAAAAGTGAAGAGTTACAACAGCATTTGGCAAAAAATCAATAGTGTATACACATTGTATACGCCATAATGTTATACTCCAATCATTTTAGTAGAGTAGATTTTGAAAATGACGATTTTAAATGCTATGTATATCTTGGTTTAACTACAACAGCTTTGCTCTAGGCCTTCGCTTCACCTTCTTATCCTTTCTCAACACTGTTTAATAATATATATTAAAACATATATGAAGACTCCACGGGAAAAACAATGAAAGTCACTTTTTAAATGAAACTGGCCTTTTAATGCCATCTGTTGACTTTTCGGTGTATTATTTTTATACAGTAATCAGAATTGGGTAAAACCATCGAGTTAACTGTAATAGTTAAATTTTTATCTGTTCAGCCAACGCAAGAATTAGGAATGCCCGCGCGCCGAACGGCTACAACGGTCGTTGTCAATTCGACAGTGGACGTGCGTGCGCGCATTTTTTTAGTAAATTCGTTATAGTGCAATTGCAATGTTGTATTGTAGGTATTTGTCTAGCAATATTTTTTCAAGAAAGTAGTAGTAGTAGTAGTGATGAAAATATGCAAGTTAAATCGCCTGAGCGGAAAAAAATACCTTAAGGAAGAATAACCGCTTAGAGTGCTTTAAAATGTGTGGGAAACAGAAAGAAAGCTGTTACTTAGTCATTTTAAGCAATTGAAAACAGTAAATGAACAAAATAATTTTCTAGCATCCATGATAACAATGAATCTTGTAAAGCAACAACGCTCTAGAAATGAAGTCATAAACAAGACTTGTTTAATACTTCTTCACTTAGTGATTGTTCGATACACAAGCTTTAAATGTTATTAAAAATTAATTTAAAAAAGGGACTGTTATTATAAAGTTTAAACAAGTTTTTGTTTTATACATAATATTAAAAAATTAAGTTTAAAAGAAGTTATTATCATGGTAATAAGTTTGAACAAGTAATTGTTTGAGTGCATCTTAATTATTTTTAAGTTACTTTAAAAAATTGAGTCATAATAATTTTTAATAATGAATGTCAATTTAATTTAATGCAAAAACCAAGAATGTCAATGACTTAGATTGTTTATGATATGGAGTTTAGACACTAATTTCATACATTTGGCTTTAATTACGATAATATAAAACTAAACCATATATTTAAGTAAAGTAAAAAAATATGTTTATATAGTAATAGGTTGTTTCAATATTGAAACAACCATAAAATAAAAGATATACAGACTTTTAAACTGTAAAAAGTTGTTTTTCCGTTACTAATCACCCTTTGACATTAATTATTTTTCCCGAAGAGTCGTCATATATTAAACTTAAAACTTTAAATTCTGTTTATCTACACATATATCATAAACTCTCTATAATGTGTTCAAAAACCGCAAAAAAACTGTTTTGTTAGAACAAATTTCTTATCTGTGACAATGTTATTATTGCTTCATAACATCGAATTCCATGCTATTATTACATTAAAATTTCGAACATATCTGAAAAACAAAACAATTTTATTGGACCTCAATTCTAGTAATAGTCGAGATGAGTTTTATTCGATATGAAATGTCAATTGCAAACAATTTTTTACATTTTACGTTAGGTACTTAATATTGAACGATATGATAGTTGGGGCCGATTTTAGTTTGTCTATGAATTAAAAATAAATACTACGGTTGTGTGACATGCGTGAGAAAAGATTTCATTTGCCGCCATTTCGCCTGTCGTAACATGCGGTTCGTGAATACATCACAAAGAGCTTATAATATGTGTGTAGATAAAGCAGTGTATGTAACTATACATAATTAGACATTAAAACACTCGTGAGATGTTTTAAACCCTCACTCGTAATACATACATAAGTAAAAGTCACATAAACTACTATTAACTCTTAGTAATGCTGCTTATTTCCAAACGATTATTAAATTAAATTCTGAACAATTTTGGCGTTACAGCAGCTGTGTGCGATTCGCTATGGGCCTTTTGGAAGATAAAGTGTCGTTTTTATTTTGACTTTCAATTATTTTGTGAAATCTAGTTTAAAGTGTATATAATAAATAAAATAAATGTATATGTATAATAAAAATCTCGAACTAAAATACCCGTATCGGCCCGTTCTAAGGAATTCCGAGTCAATCCAAACACGCCGTCTCAAATTGCCTATCCTCTTTGTGGCGACCATGTTTACAGAAACATAATTAAACGAAGACTTGGCTCAAAAGACTTATATCCAAGCCAAAATTATTAATAATAAAAAATACAGCAGCTGTCAAAGTCTTTTTTTAAGAGTTTTGGCTTGGATACAAGTTGTTTGAGCCATGTGTTCGTTTAACTATAGGGATCCTCATTAAATATTTTCCAATGTGGTTCTACAACATTATGTTTTCACTTTCTCTTAAATAACTTAGTTCTCTTGTTTGGACTTACTAAATAGTCTTTTAAGCAGCGGGAGTGCCAATATTTATGTTTTCACTGTCACTTGTATCACATTATTGCCACTTTGAACAAATTTCTAATGTTAAGCCAAACTACAATAGATTTTAGCCTGAAAATTTCACTAATTACGAATTCAAAGTTTTAAGTGAAAAGTGAATATATAAAATTAAATATTGATTCCCTCTGCTTATATTATATTATAATTATACCTTATATTATACCCAAACAAAAAAAATACTAAGTTATTTATGAGAACTACAATGGAAAATATTTATTGAAGATCCCGATAATTAAACGAAGACAAGACACTATATCTTTCTAATGTGTGGCTAAAAAGACTTGTATCCAATCCAAAACACTTAATAAGAAATATATTTAACACAAATGACAAATGTTTTGATTTGGTTTGGTTTTACTACCATCGATTTTTTCTAAATAAAACCAGGAAAGAAACAACTGTGTTATGAATCGCGTTTACGTGTTTAAAGATAAATCTAATAAAAATGGTAAAGTTATGGTGTTGGAAAACACGTTGGAAGAGTTCAAAAGCAAAATATCTGCATTGTTCGACATTGTTGGGGATAATGTAAAAATTTACTCATCAAACGGTTGTGAAATACACGATTTGCGTGTCATTCGTGATGATGAGAATGTGTACTTATTACCAAGTGTAAAACAAAACAATGAGGACTGTGATAACATTGAAAATTCCACAAAAGACCTGGAGGAAGGTATTGAAAATATTAAAAGTAAAGTTGTTTCTGACTGGATCACTTTAAATGTTGGTGGTAAACGTTTTACTACGTCTCGTGCAACACTATTAGCTAAAGAGCCTCTTTCAATGTTGGCCAGAATGTTTGCTGATGACAATAATATGTACTTAATGAACCCCAGTGCGACTGACGAGACGGGAGCATATCTCATTGATAGAAGTCCGGAGTATTTTGAGCCTATTTTAAATTACCTGAGGCATGGCAACGTCGTTCTGGATAATCATGTTAATCCAAAGGGTGTGTTGGAAGAAGCCATTTTTTATGGTAAGTACCAAATATCTTATTTCTTGTTTAGCCATTCTGAACCTCTAAGGTGTAGGCCTCCTTCAGTTTGTGCCATTTTTACTAGTCTTGAGCAGTTTTTAATCACTGTTCCCACCAGTTTAAACTTTGTAATTTATAAATTATTATTATTAGCTTATTGGTTGTAGTGTGAAAGTTCTCTGTAGAGGTGACATTATATCAAAGTTGTTACTGCAAGTGTGTAAGTAATAATAACAATAATAACGCACACACTCAACATAGCCCCACACTATGGAAACCCATGGACACACTTAGACAACCACAAATTACTCCCAAACTCAAGAAAGACATAAAAGTAGGCCATACAAATATTTCTCCTGGCCCGGGAATCGAACCTGGGACCTCTGCGTGGCAGTCCAGCATGGTAACAATTCGGCCACATATAAAGTATATAAAAAATGTAGAAAATCTTTTTAAAATGTATGAATACTGGCAAGTTTGCTAGTGCCCTAAATGGTGTGACTTTAGAATAGCTGATATCAAATTCATTGACCCCTGTGAAGTTTCAAATTGAAAATGTAATATCAAAATGTATCCAATATACAATATAATGACTTTAAAGTACCCAAATGCAGCTCGTAAAGCTATATTATGTGCATTTATGGGACAATTTTTGAACGATCTAGTATTGAAATTGATTTTCATTTTCGTGATCTTAAATAATTCTTTTTAAATTCATTATTTCCTAAAACTGAAAATAAATGAGGGGTTTCCTTTTTACTAGATCTACTTCTGCAACAAATATTAACACCCTACTTGGGGTCAGCTATTCTAAAGTTGAACTACCTACTTAAATTCAACTCTATGCCACTTAGGTAGTATGATTAAGCAGTTCAGGGTATAAAATTTACCATGATTTTGATAGTAAAGATTTGAAGAGTTTACCCATATTTTTTGTTAATTTTTATATGTGGGAACTCATCATCAGAATTTGAAAATTTATTTAGTTTTCTAAGTGACTGTTTGTCTGTCAGTGCTCTGACAAGAAATTAAATATATAAATAACTACCTTTGTGCATGCTGGTCTTCTCCAAGAAGATAGTTTAAGCTTGAAATAGGGATGCACATTATGATTTGATTTTTATGAAGATCAATTCAAGTGTATACAATCTAACAACTTTTGTATTGATTGTGCAATGCAATTTTTAAGCAAATTGATTCAACATTAAGGCAAATCGAATTGTGTAGATTGTATTCATAATTTAAACAAAACAGTCACTCTGAACCTCGACTGAATCCCATTTTATATTGGTCTAAAGTAACCGACTGAAGCCGAAAAGGTTATTAATATTATTATCTTTTGATCAAAATTCATTTTGAGACAATTTTTATGAGATTGATTCAAAAGCATATGATCCATTCTGTGGATCGATTCAGAGGCATATGATCCTTTAGAATCCAAAAAAAATCTTGAAATAAAAAAATAGTGCGTCCCTATCTCGAAATATAATTAAAGTATTTTATTATTCATATTTGAATACATTACCAATATTAAATATTACCAACATTGAAGGAAATCCTATAAATTTTTCAGGTATAGACTCCATGATACCCCAATTGAATCAGTTACTTGAAGAATCCATCTCCAGTTATGGCAAGAACCAAGCTCTTTCTCGTATGGATGTAGTTCGTTCTATAGTTATGACCTCCATAACATCAGAACTGCGTTTCCAAGGTGTCAACTTAGCTGGTGCAGATCTTAACAGACTGGATTTGAGAAATATAAATTTTAAGGTATTACACAAAATTGCATAATTCAAAATCATCTTCCTGAACATGATGCATAGTACATTTCTACGATAATAAAATTGCACATCATGTTTCTAAAGAGTATGATTTGTAGAGTGAATCCTTAAATATCAAATACATTAACTTAATAAGTAAAGCTTTAGTAATAATGAGACAGCAAGAGATCAAATGAACACAACTATTTCCCAATTACGATCGCTGCCTTTTTTTTATATTTATAAATTAGTTGTAACACACATTGTCATCTATTGATATGCATATTTGTCAAAGTTAAGAAAATAATTTTTGTACATGGTCA